AAGAAAAAAGCAAATATCAAGGGAGGGATCATCAATGTGGAGCATTCAGGCTTACCTCAAAAGAAGGTGCAGGAATTCAAACTGAGTCTGCATTATCTATGTCTATCTTCCTCAGCCCAGCCATTAGGAGCTGAGGTCTTGGAGCGTACTTCCTCTATAATGGAAGGAAAAAACGCATGGGTTTGCAGACTGTGGCTAACAAAAATTATTCTGTAGCTAGCTTTAAGGAGGACAGGATCTTCCAAGGCCTTTCATCTCTTCTCTGACTCATTTTTGGCCATGAATAAAGTATTTCAACCTTCCTGTCTCTTTTCCTCCAGCTGTAAAATGATATCAGTAATCCCTCCTGGCTTCTGATGCCTGCAGTGAGAATTAGTTCACCCATTCTAGCATATAGAGCTACTCAGGTTAACCAAACCAAGCTTCAGTTTTCTTTTTATAGCAGCAGTATTGAACATAGCCACAGCAGAAGAGAATACAGAAAAAGTTGCATTTTTGTTAGACACAGGAAGGTGAGAGGAAGCAAGGGAGAAAACATTTTGTGTATCTCATTTTGAGCCCTAAATTAGCTTCTGCTAATACAAATCATATGTTGAGATTTTTAATGTGACTGGGACTGCCTGCCAAGAAGGGGCAAACTGAGAGCTGGCAAGCCTTCCTTCCCTCTAGCTAAATGGACATTCTTGCATTGAAGCAGTATTTCTCAGTACTGACCATGAGTCACTTTTCAGCCCTGTGATCAGTGTCAATGATGCAAATAATGGATCACTAATATATGCTGTATCACACAATATAAGTAGAGACACAGTTTAGACAATTGTATGTTATTACAAAACATCTAAGAAATATCTAGAGTTATTTAGCATAGCTGGTTGGTTTAACTGCGTATAAAATACTGGTTTATATGTTTAGTCTTTGAAGTTTGTCTTTTGTTGTAGACTTGATACCATGCAAAAGGAAAAAAAAAACAAACAAAAAAAGTTCCTGTATAAAGTACCCATATAAAGTAGCAACTGCACCTCTGGGATTTCCCAGAAATCCTGCAGAAGGATTTTTCAGATAATCAAACAATTAACAAGTTCTTAGAGCAAGGGATTTCCCAGAAATCCTGCAGAAGGATTTTTCAGAAAATCAAACAATTAACAAGTTCTTAGAGCAAGCCGTAGGAGCTTTCTACCTCTCCTTCATAGATACAGTGAGATTCTGGTGGAGAGAGGACTTATTTAATATTAATTAAAAACATCAAATTATATTAATCAATTAAAAATAACATTAACATTTAATAACAACATTTAATATTAATATTTAATGTTAAAATGTAATATTTCATAGAATAAAATAACATCTTTTGCAGCAAAAAGATCAGGGAATTAACTCTGTTCTCACTCTATATCAGTCTTTTTATTTCCTTCCCCACAGTAATAGTGCTACCAGTTGCACCTTTTCATCATACCTTCTTTTTCCCATCAGACTGCCTCTTTAATGATGAATATTTCATGTTTTTTTCTAGGGGCAGAATGGAATGCATTTCAAAAGCAGATAGCAAACTAAGACACAGAAAGTGTATCAGCTCCATTTCACATAGGATGTGACTAATGACAGTTCATTCTTTTTAATTGTTTGCATGTGTTGTCTTCCTCGAGACTTGCAGCACATTGCACATTGCCTTTTTAATCGGCTACCATCACCTCCACATATTCATACAGAAACATATATTTCACTTTTGAAGGGAGAGACTGTCTATTACTTATTTGAAACATCCAATTTATATGTGCTTTACCATAAACATGTGGTTCAGAGAACAGAAGCCTTTGGATCTCCGGTAGTACTCTGAACGACTCACCACCATCCTCCTGTATACCACTTGCATGCATATCACTATTTCTTGTTATAAACATACAGGTCCCATTCCACAAAAAAAGCAGGACCTTTCTGTCTGTTCTGAATAGAAATGTAAGTACAAATTCCTCATCCTAAACAATGTCTTTCCAAAGCAGCACTGCATGCAATATTGATATGCTGCAACATGATCAGATTGCTGAAGTAACGTAATGCCTACTGGGCTTCTTGGGACACACTCTATCAGTTACAGCATCTTAACTCAAAGCCATCACACAATACCTATATCCACTATTCTTCAAGAAAGGTCCTCCTTGCAAAGAAATTTTTTTTAACTTTCCAAATATTAATGTCCACATATTAGTCTGCCTGCCTAGAAAGAATCAATACTGTTTTCATGCTGACCTAGTTATGGAATCACAAAATCTAAGCTGATTTTCTAATGTCAGGAGCCCGAAGGAAATCAGAATCTCTCAACTCCTGTATCAGCATCTTCAGAAACTGAATGGTCAACTAGGTTTATATAATCTGCTGCAGCTAGGAAATGCAGTTCACTCAAAAGCTCCATCTTCAATTCAATTCAATACACTGTTTTGCTGCCGAAGCAGTAGAGTTAACAAGTTTACAAAGTAACAGAGTTTGAAAAAGTGGATTTGCAAAAGCACTTTTATTCTGTTTTTTTTCTTACTAAATGGTGCACTGGGCATTCATAATCAACCTGCAACTAGCAGTTAAAGTGCAGCCATGAATGTTCCGGTCAGTTTAGGGGATTTCTGAAGAGGAATTCCAAGCATGTGGTGGGCCTAAGACAGATTGACAGGACACTCAGGGTAGATTGACAGTGTGGGGTGGGAGGGTCTCATTTGGACCAAACCATCAACTTAGGTAATAACCAAACATACCATTAACAAGAAACACACTGCAACATCTCCCCGTTTCCTGTTTAAGAAGAAGAGTTTTGGCATTGAGGAATAGATTCTGATTGGGAGAACACATTTCTCCACCAGGACTGCTGTGTGGATACTGCTACATGATTGACTTCATTGGTAAACATTAACTAAAATCTTCTGACATATCATTGGGAAAAAGAACAGTCAGGGATAATTTGACACTATCAATTAGGGGATCAGGTTTTCCAGTTCCTTGGCACCGGTGCCTCTGGAGGGAAGCCACAGTTGCATCTTTGGTGGACTGACCTGATCATGGTACAGGCTTGGGGATGTGCAGTTTGACCCACTTTTGAGGGACCCATCTCAACCCAGAGGGCGTGGACACGCAAGTGTATCCCAGACCCCAAGTGATTAACTCAAATGGGCCCTCTACTTTTGCTGTCTCAGGACTCTTTATTAAAACTGGGGGGTGTTCTCTCAATTTCAGCTGTGTGTTACTGCTGAAATGCCTGACAATAGGCGGGTTAAGGTGTTCAAACGTGCACTTTAGAAAATTTATGGTAAACAATGCTTTACAGAGTTTGATCTGTGGTGGATCACTGCTGCTGCTCTAGGAGACTCTTGAGCGACTGATGTGTTTGCTCAATGATGACTTGACCTGTGGGGGAGTAAGGGATGCCTGTTTTATGGTTTACTCCCCATTTCTGCAGGAACTCCTGGAAGAGCTTGGAGGTATATGTGGGACCATTATCTGTTTTAATATCTTTAGGGATCCCCAACACAGAGAAGGCCTGCACTAGGTGTTTTTGTGCATCTGTGGTCTTCTCCCCTGTGTGGGCAAAAGCATAGACTGCTCCAGACAAAGTATCCACTGAAACATGAACATACCTCAGCCTGCCAAACTGAGGGACGTGAGTCATGTCCATCTGCCACACCTCACAGCTGTTGAGGCCTCTTGGATTTACACCAGCACTCAAGGTTGGTACTGCATACCTTTGGCAACTGGGACATGTAGCTACGATGGCTTTGGCCTGGTCCCGCTTTAGATGGAATTAGCGTACTAGGCCAGGCACATTTTGATGGAATTGTTGATGGCTCAGCTTTGCCTGCTGAAAGACGTCTGGCAGGTTGACCATCTCAGCCGGGGCGGCCAGGGCGTCTGCTCTTTCTGTTCCCCACTGCAATGAAACCTGGAAGATAAGTGTGTGACCTAACATGCATCACATAGAAAGGTTGCTCTTGGTGGGAAACAAGATAAAATAATTTTGAGAGTAACTTAAACAGGTTAGGGTTAGAGACCTCCTTTAGAACAGCATTTTCGGCTCTAGATGCTACTCCTGCAACATAGGCTGAATCAGTGACTAGATTAAAAGGTTCAGAAACCCTCTCGAAGGCTCTGACGACTGCGTCTAACTCAATAATTTGAGGGAAGCCCTCAACCTCTTTTACATCTGTCTCCCATTTCTGAGTCTGAGGATCTTTCCAAGTCATCACTGACTTGTGGGCTGCTCCAGATGCATCTGTGAAAACTGTCACAGCATTGAGTGGACTCGGACTTTGTTTTTCCTTGGGGACTAATTTAAATGCCAAATTAAATAATTTATGTCCAGGATTATGAATTGAAATTTGTCCTGGGTAGCTATCTAGAGTAAATTGGAGCGTCTCATTTTCCCTAAGTAACTGCTCCAGAACCACTTTTGTTAACTTACCTGATGTTAGGGTAAGTGGTAGATGGATGCATGCGAAGTCACACCCTGCCAGTCCTCACATTCTGGCCCTGGCCTTCCAGATCAATTGACCTATTAACTCTTGTGGCCTGGTGATACTTTTGGACCTCTGGTGACTGAGGAATGCCCACTCTATGATCAAGAATGGATCCTTCTGACCTTGATCCCACTGGAAAATCAAGCCATGGAGGTGTGGCAATCTTCCCAAAACAATAAACTTAAATGGCAAGTCTGGCAGGCAGCGACGAGCTTGTTTTGTTGCCATCGCCTCTTGAGCTTTCTCCAGAGCTAGCTTGGCCTCTTGGGTTAGGACCCTAGGAGAACTCAGCTCCTCTTCCCCTTTCAATAAGTTGAAAAGTGGGGCTAGGTCTTCTGTTGTTAAGCCCAGCCAGGGTCTTACCCAATTTAAGGACCCACACAGCTGGTGGAGATCAGCTAAGGTTTTCGGGTTGTTTCTGATCATCAATTTTTGAGGAGCAATGGTCCTCTTGCTAATTTGGAGCCCCAGATACCTCCAAGGGGGCACCCGTTGAACTCTGTCCTTTTAGAGTGCAAATCCTGCAGCAATCAAAACACTGACAACTAGGTCAAGAGCGTGCTGTAGTATATCATCATCGGGGGCACACACCAGCACATCATCCATATAGTGCAGGATGATGGTTTCTCTTGCTTTGGCACGCACTGGGGACAGCAATGAAGCAATGTACCACTGGCAGATACTGGGACTGTTTTTCATGCCTTGCAGCAAGGTTCGCCAATGGTAGCGCTTCACTGGAGCTTCTCGATTGATGGAGGGAACTGAGAAGGCAAACTGTGGGGCACCAGCAGGGTCAAGGGGAATCTGGAAGAAACAGTCTTTTATATCAATAACAGCCAAATTCCAATTGTGGGGGAGCATTGATGGGGATGGCATTCCTGGTTGAAGAGACCCCATGTCTTCAATGACTTTGTTAATTTCTCTAAGGTCCTAGATGAGTCACCACTTGTCCTTTCCCAGCTTCTTGATAACAAAGACCGGGGAATTCCAAGGGTTGATGGTTGGCACAATGTTGCCTTTTGCTAACTGCTCTTCTACCAATTCATTGAGCGCCTTCAATTTTTGTTTATTCAGCGGCCACTGATCTACCCATACTGGGTGTTCTGTTTTCCAGTTCAGCTTCTGGGCAGGGCGCTCATCAGCAGCCGCTATGAAAAATCCCAAGAGTTTTTGGGATTTCAATTTTCACTCCCCATTGGGACATGGCATCTGTCCCCCACAGGGGAACTTTATAGGCTAAAACGAATGGGCGTAAGCTGGCCAATTGCCTATCTGGCCCTTCAATTTCGATGATGCTCTTAGATTGTTCGGTGAATTGGGCACCCCCAATGCCCTGTACTTTACCTATCACGGGTTGCAACTCCCAATGTGACGGCCATCTGGTGGTTGGGATGATTGTCACATCTGCCCCTGTGTCCAACACTCCATCAAGGTGAAGGTAATCTTCACCTCGCCGGAGACCACACCCCATCCAAGGCTTGTCTTCTCTAATGACTTCTGCCCAGTAGACGCCTGGTGATGAATCGTCCACTGGCATCTCATGTGGCGTTGGAATCACCTGGGTGATGATTTGGCCCTGTGGCATATAGAAGGGTGGGTGGACACAACGCACCACGAGAATCAGTGCCTCCGGCTCTGATAATTGCTGGAGAGATTTCAATCTCCTGGGGTGTGTGCTTGGTGTCCCCGATAACGACATACTTACAGTCCAGTCCAGCAAATAAGTCTTTGTCAAGTGGGTCAACTGACACAACCTGCCAGTTGTCTGTATTAAAGAATCTGTTTTGTGTCACAACTAGCTTAAAGGGAGTTTGTGGCTTCCAAACCTTCTCTGGGTCCCTATTTTGACCTGCTTCATTTTTGTCTACACACAACGCAGGCCCGCGCTTCCCATCTAGTTTTTTGGAAGCGGTTGTCCCCCTCCCCCCTGAGAACTTATTGGTTTATTTTGCAGAAGTTGCCTCTTCGGACAAACTTTTGCTACATGTCCCTCTTGCCCACAGTTAAAACACTGAAAAGGCTGTTGGTGTATTTTTGGACTAGCAGCAGCAGCTGTTTTCTCCATTCTGTCTCCTTTTCCTCGAGGCTCTGGGATGATGGCTCTCTTTGTGCAGGCTTTGATGATCAAGTCGAGGGTCAGTGGTGGCTCAAAGGGCAGGCCTAGGATGATCTTCTTGCAGACGTCATTAGCATTTGCTTGGGATACTTCCATTATTATCTGTTCCTGTAGTTGCCGACTCTCAACCTGCCTCTCCACTTCGACTCGGAGCCTTTCAACAAAATCTATAAAAGCCTCAGAGAGAAACCGTTTAACATTCACATAACTTTGCTTAGGTTCTTTTGTGGGCATAAGGATACAGGCCTTCTCTGCAGCTCTCTTTACCTATTCCAACACAGGCTGTGGTATTTTTTCAGCCTGAGCTCTAGCTTGTGACCAATCCCCTTCACCACACAAGTGGTCCATTGAGATACTGTTGTTATCTGCATCAATGGCACAGTCAGGGCTTTGCAAGAGTTCAGGAAGAAGTTCCCTTAATAAATCTCTTCCATGTCCTCTCCCACAACAGATATTCTGTTTGGGTTAGGAGACATGCAAACATATCCCTAATATCATCAGGAACTAGAGTGTTTGAGGAAAAGGTGGCTTTTAAAAGACCTTTAAAATATTCACTTTTTCTCCCAAACTCCTTCTGAGCCTTGCAAAGCTCCTTTTTATGCTGATAATCAAAAGGTTGCCACCTAGGGGTTCCTCTTGCTTGGGTATAGGTTACAGGTGCAGTGAAGGAGATGATCTCCTGTTCCGGGTTCTGTTTTTTAGTCTCATGGCTTCCAGTTCCCATGCCATTGTGGGAAGTTGAAGCTGGAAGAGGATGAGAGCTGCCAGAGAAGGAGGAGGAAACAGGGGTGGGACAGCAATTGGAATGGGAGTTGCTGTTCACAGGTGACATCATGGGAACAGCTGATGTCATGGGAATGGGAGGCAGAGCTGGTGGAAAAGAAAGGGGTAACCCAGGGAAGGGGTGGAGTTTGGGGAGAAGGGCGGAGAAGGAGGGACATGGGTAGGGGTGCAGTCAGGGGATAGGAAGGGGTTGGCAGGAACAGGGTGAAAGGGATTCTGGGAAGAAGAAGCACAAGGTGGGGCCTGAGCCATGTGGCTTCCACCATCTTGTGTCTCTTGGAGATCATTCTGAGGGGCAGGGGAGGACTCAGGGAAAACTTGGGAATCTCCTTTAGGGGCATTCACTTGACCTGGAGGATTAACAGCTGGGAAAGGGGTTTAGGAAAGGGTCCTTGACAGCGTGGCCATTGCTTTCAAGGCAAGGGTTCCAAGAAGGCTGTGGGAGGCCAGGCAGTCGGTAGCTCGCCTGCGTTTCATCGTGGTTTGCCTGGCACGGACTTCCTGATGCAAGGGACAAAGATTTTGGATCAAGGGACAGGGAAGGTGAGGGTGTTAGTTCGAGCTTTTCCTCCACTTTCTTTTCCTCAACTATCACTGATCAAATTAGCACAAACAATGAAAAGAATTTAGCAACCAATGCATCACCTTTACTTGTCAAAGCTGTTAATTTGCTTCCAGCTACATCCCAGAAGATGGTTGATATTTCCTCTGGGGATACCCTTGGAAAGTGGAAGGAAAGCCACTGAACAAATTTTTTTAACAACCCTTTTGAAAACTTTCTTTTCCCACCCTCCAGGGTACCCAAAATTTGAAAATAGATCCCTCTCTGCTGTGCTGACAATTTCCCACCCATTTTCCTTGATGTTAAGCTGCTGGCACAGCAAAAATCCACCCTCCCCTGCAGCAAAAGAAACAACTTAACAAACTAAAGATAAAAGTTCCAGGGCCAGTCTCAGGGACAGGGTGCTTTCCGCAGCCAAATATTGTGGCCTGTAGGTTCGTGGTCCCCCCTCCACCACTCCTGGGGAGCAATGTACCCTTCCCACAGCTTGTGACCACCCTCAGCCTAACTTGGGGTATACTCACCCTCCTTTGGTCCACTGGACAGGGGCTGCAGGGAAGTCCTCCTCAGGGAAGTGGTCCTCTGGATGCTAGAGGGTTATCACTTCCTCCCCTCAAGAGCCTGAAAAACTGGTCTGCTGCACTCAGAGGCAGCTGACAGCCAGAACTTCTTGGATAAAATCTACAGTTCATCCGTGGGGTCCGTTCACAGGGCCTCGCGGTGGGCGCCAGCTATCACATCTTGCCAGAGCTTATCTGTCTCTATCACTTTGGCCCACTCCAGGAGTGGGTCACAGCCCAGGAGCAGGATGACCCGAGGTGTGACTAGAGCACTTGCTCTACAGCTTTTTGGCTGTCAGTGCGCTCTGAGGAGGCAAGGATGAGAGGGAGGTCTTTAACATGGGATAATAGAGGATTTATTGCTCTGGGGAACCTTGGGGGCAAAAGACAGAAAATGCGAGTGTGCAACAGCTGAAATAGGGAGGTGTTCAAAGGGAGGGTACAAAGCATCAGCTAATCAGAGATATCCTGGGGAGGGTAAAAGGCAGGGTTCACAAAATCATCATCCTATGAGGAAGGTAGGGGGGGAAAGTTGGGTCACATGGAATAATCAAGTGTCGAGGTTTAGAGGATTTCCGAAGTGGAATTCCAAGCATGCGGTGGGCCTAAGACAGATTGACAGGACACTCAGGGTAGATTGACAGTGTGGGGTGGGAGGGTCTCATTTGGACCAAACCATCAACTTGGGCAATAACAGAACAGACCATTAACAAGAAACACACTGCAACACCAGTCTTCCTGCTGCAGCAAGAATGGTGCTTGCTACCTTCTGTGCATTGAAGTCTAGCCCTTGAAGCTTGGGGCAGGTGTGCATTGTAATGCTGAAAATCTTGACAACTGTGATGGATGTCAATTTCGAAGTAAAAAAAAAAAAATGTGTGAAGTGTGAAAAAATATTTCTCAATGGAAAATACAAATTCATGTCATAGAAACTGTTATAAATGCAAACAGAACTGCCAACAACCTCCAGCTTCTATTGATACCCACTCTATCTACTTCCCTCAAATTGTTTTCAAGTATTTAATAAGTGAGTTGATTACTTATCTTTTAATAATTCTACTACCTTCATTACAGCACAGCAAAATTATCAAGTAGGTTAAATCAAAGATAATACTCTAAAATTTGGTATATGCATTTTTTCATTGCACCAGAGATTTCTAACTACAATACCCATTATTGAAGAAAAACAAATACTGATCATATCTCGAGATGTAAAAAATTCACACTTTTTCTGTGAATATACCAGGATTATTAACACTTGAACATTATATTGATGGAAATTTTAGTTAGCTTCATATTTTTGTTGCAAATTACCATTTTAAGCTAGAGACAGCAGTGTGAGGAAATACCATAAAGCAAACTAGCTGGACAATAAACAGTGTTAAAAAGTCTTGTATATCTCAAGTGGAGCTGTGAGGAAAAACAGAAAGACACTTTGAAAAATTCTGTAACTATTTCTCAGTTCAGTTACAATAAGCTTAAAATGCCATTAAATGCAAAAAAGGAACTGAAATAGCTCTGAGATGTGCCTAATTCCACTAATGTACCCCAGGAGGCAGTTAACAAGCAGCCCCAGTAAGCTGAAGCATTTGTACCCCTATTGAGTGCAGGACAACCACTCTCCCACTGAGATCTGGTTCCAGTCCATAACACACCTGGGCTTCTTAGGAAGAGGATTTTTCAGTTCCTCTGACAGAGGAGCAAATTCAGAGTTTCTGAGAGAAGATTGGAGCTCTGTCCTTTGCAACCATTTCTTTATTAATTATAGGTGATGCCAACGTAATTCTCTAATTTTTACATTTTCTAATTACACTTGTGTAAACTTAACTGTTTTTGGAGCAGCCGCTCCTAAGAAAATGTTGTAAAGCAAAGGGAACAGGTGGGCTTGATTAACACAGTTTCCTGTGAAACTCTTACACATTAACAATTTTAGACTTTGAAAGCTTTTTAAATTTCACAGTTTGTCTCTGAGCCTACCTAAACCACCAAAAATGTAGGAAAACCATTTTTGATAAAATGTTTGCCATCAGCTGAAAGCCTACAGCCCATTTTCCTCCTCCTAACAACTTACTATTAGATAATTAACAAAAAAAAAGTTTCAGACTTGTTCCATGTATTGAAGTTTGCTTTTTATCTGAGTTCAGAGCTACCTGAGAGCCATCCATTGCTAATCAAAGTACAGTCATCCAAGGTAACAGTTCCTGAAAGCCAAACGTGTTTGCTTTGTTTGTTTTATCAGCAGAAAGCAGTCCTGAAGTTCTCATGTTTGCAACTATGGATGCATCTGAAGTACTTTATATTCTTCAGGTACTCTCCACTACTCCAGTCTCCATGCATATGTAAAATTCATGTGCTCAGTATATGAAAGAGAATGTATGAAAACATAATTTCCATTTAGTACAATTTTATGTGCATATCTCCATATTGAAACCCTAGTAGCTGAGCAGACAGCTATCAGCCAAAACCAGAAAAGTTCAAAGAAATACAAAGGGAAAATCAGAAGTCTCACATCCCTGTCATGTAATTTTTGTTTTACAACAGAGTAATTAAAGGCATTCAATTCCAATTTTACTATCAGATAAATAGTTCTCTTCCTCTTTCCTTGATTGTTAAAAATATTAAGAAGTCCTAGTTAAGAGTATTCAGAAATGCATTCCCCGTTGCAACAAGATCATCAC